TTTTAACGTGCACCCAAATCTGAGCACACGGGCCTACAACATTTCCGCCTCCATCGGAAATGGGGACGATAGAAGAGGGAATGCAATCGCAGACTGCGACGAATCTTTGTAACTCCATTTATACTGGAGGGATTTTTAACATTTTTGCGCTGTTTAATTCGTGAGGCAATACGTTCCTCCAGAAAGTTCATTCCATGGTTACTTGAAAAAGTGTTTCAGGGCCCCTTTAAGCAGCTTCACTCTAGAAAAAAAAACCGAGAAAGTACAGTATAGCATAACATACAGGATAATATAAGAAGGGTTGGGAAAGAGAGAAATGAGGGGTTAAAGGCCTAGTCAAGCGAGGACCAGCTGGGTTCCCACCAGCTCTGCTGTTTTTTTTTTTTTTATTGCGAAGCATTTCTTAGCGAACTTCGACTACTTTGAGCGTATCTATCTATCTGGCCGCTTACGTTTGGGTGCTCACGTGGTCACCCCCTTAACTTGTCGTGAACTAAAATTAGCATGAGAGGGTAAGGTGATTTGACAAATATGACGCGTTGGTCAAGACATGAATAATGTCACAGTCCCGTCGCGTATGTCGTCAAACACTTCCCGCCAGACAGTGACACATACCCACGGGCGGGTATGTGCCGCTTGTATATATGCGGGTATGTGCCACAGGTGATTGACACTTAGTAACTACCAAGGAACGATGAAAACACACATGGGCAATTTTAACGCGTGAGCGTTAAGCAAAGCCGACATCGGTAGCGTCAACCCACAGAAGGCATAGAATATGTCAGGGTCCCAGCTGGAATAAAACCCAACCATTCTGCGTGGCAATGAAGTTTTTTTTTACCACAGAGCTACGCCACGTCTCGGAACTACTTTTCAAATAGACGCTAATCTTCGTGAAACGTCAAAAGTGGTTGCAGTGCTGTCTACCCAATTTTATAAACATTACATATGTACTCCTTTGATACGCCCGTCACGTCGTGCTAACGCCAATTGTGGTTAGTTGCCATGCGCTGAAGTTGATTTATGCAGCTGTGTCTAGGCCCAGCATCCTCGCGAGCATCAGCGCTTCGTATCAGCTTCTGGTGTTCCTAATACGCATGTTCCGGTTGGCATCGTTGCGCAAGTGCAAACAACTGGTTATATACACATCTGCAACTCTTCAACACATATCTGTGCGTGCAACATTTGTACATATATTTAGCGTCGTTTCAAGACGTTTCGCTCAATAAAAAAAAAACTTGCAGCACGGTCACCTTCCCTCCACATGCTTCGCATAACGTCGATTCCCGGGTACGTGGGATCTGCTGAATCTTTTTTCGGTTCCTCTGATCATCACATCCATGATTGATTGATTTGTGGGGTTTAACGTCCCAAAACCACCATATGATTATGAGAGACGCCGTAGTGGAGGGCTCTGGAAATTTTGACCACCGGTTCTTTCACGTGCACCCAAATCTGAGCGATCATCACATCCACACCACCCCCAATGCGTAATTAATTTCGTACTGTGCCGCGGCCCGCGTTCCGGGCACACGGCCGCAACGAGTTTTATCTTTGCGTCTTGGTAGGAAGCGCAGCAACTATTACGCGGAACACACAATTCCACAAGCGCTCGTGTTGTGTGTTCCGTGTATTAGTTGGTGCCCTTCCTACCAAGATGGATTCATACCGACTGGCCCGATACAATTGTTTATCTCGCCCCGCCGCGGTGGTCTAGTGGCTAAGGTACTCGGCTGCTGACCCGCAGGTCGCGGGATCGAATCCCGGCTGCGGCGGCTGCATTTCCGATGGAGGCGGAAATGTCGTAGGCCCGTGTGCTCAGATTTGGGTGCACGTTAAAGAACCCCAGGTGGTCGAAATTTCCGGGGCCCTCCACTACGGCGTCTCTCATAATCATATGGCGGTTCTGGGACGTTAAACCCCACAAATCAACCAATCTATCTTTGCGCACACGCTTTGCAAGTGCATCTGGTCTAAAGTCCCTGGATATTTTTTAAGGGACTTTAATCTGGTCGCGCTTCTTGCGCCGTCCGACGGGCGACCGAAGCAAAGCGCACCTCAGAGAGAGAGAGAGAGAGAGAGAGAGCACGCAAATTTTCGGGCACGGCCGCGCAATCGCCCGCCGGATCGCTCCACATTTCGGCCGACCGGCCGGGTGGCGGCGCCGGTGGGCGGCGCGTGACCTTGGGGGACGACGGGGCAAGGACGCAGCGGCCTCTACCGCCGCTTGTCCGATACGGCCCTACAGGTTGACATGGCGGCCGGGCTCTCCTTTTTTTCCTTCCTTCCTTTCTTTTATTTATTTATTATTTATATTTCGATCCCCCTTTCTTGTTTACCGGTTATTTGTCTCGAGCGCGGCAGGTACACGAAAGCTGCGGGAGGAACCTTTTTAGCATAGCTGCAAAAGGTTACAGCTAGCATGTTGTCGTTTGGACAGGACAACCGAGGTGGGAGAGGAGGGCCGCTGGGATGAAACTTTGCGGACTGTTCTGTCCCGTCCACAGCGTTTCCTACAGCACCGTGCTTTGCAGCCTGCCTGGTGTATACCTTGGGCTAAGAAGAGATCGGGGAACAAGTCAGGGCTACCGCTGTTTGCTCTATGTGAAAAAAATTTTTACGGGCGAAGCTCCTTTGGGTGTTGCTAGTGTCCCTCGTAGGAGTGTTGTTGTAGTAGCCACTTCTAGTTAGTTTTAAGAACTGCTCACTAGATGACGTTGTGTGTATGTGTCCTTGGAAATAATTTCACTAGATGGCGTTAGTGGTTTTCGTATAGTTGACACACGGACGGATGCACAGACAGACAGACAGACAGAAAGACAGACAGACAGACAGACAGACAGACAGACAGACAGACAGACAGACAGACAGACAGACAGACAGATGGACGGACACTTCACCCCATTCATCATTATTCACTCCGTAAATATGCTGTAACTTGTTTTATGTACAATTGTGAAAACGTGAATGTATTCCTGAACACTGATTTGTTACTCATAATTTATATTCTGTACATCGTGCAAATATTTCTTTCTTTTTTCTAAACAATCACGGTACACAGTGCTTCAAATCGTCGAACACTTCCTCTACGCATGCACGTAGAAGTAAATGCGGTGCTATATAAAATCATAAATCATACGGTCAAAGCGAAACTATAGATACTTGCTGAAGCTTGTTATTTTGTGCAGCGTCACCATAGTGGAGTATACATAGTACAATGAAAGCCCGTTAATTCGGATAACTCGGATGTGGTCTCTGGTCCCGGCCAGATTGTGTACTCTTTAATGGCACCTCGTTAATACGGTCATATTTGGTCGCTGTCCGGTTTATTCGAACAATCTCATCGGAGTGCGCTAGCAACACGTTCAGTATCAAATATCCACAATGTTAAATCGTTTACACGGTCTCATAGATTTCAATTCCGTACCTTCGAACACCATTATCAAGTCCATTCTAATGAACCATGATATTGAGTATGCTTATTAAAGTTTCTGTACTTGATTTGTTACATCCTATCTATCAATTTAAGTTATGTGTTGTAGTTTCTTTTCTTATGCTTTATTTTACATTCTGTATTGAAATTCCTTTTCAGATGACGCTTTTGTGATAAAGTGATTTTCTAATGTTTTCCCTGAAATAGTGTGACAAGACCATGCTGAATTTTCTTGTGTTATGGTTCATTTATTGTGTTACTTATTTATTTCTGTGTGTTATTTGTTGTGTTATATATTTATTTCTGAAAGCGCATGCGACAGATTGAGCGGCCTGCGTGCCAAACTGTATTTAGGAGCAGAGGCCCCATGTCAGGCTATATAGCCTTTAGCCTCTGCTCCCGATCCTGTAAGAATTTCAGGACAAATAAACTTCGATTAAATTCAAAGTGTCAGAAGCGTGCGACGCAAAAAAAAAGGAGGGGGGGGGGGGGGGGACCAGCGTTCGCGAACAAGGAAACGGCCGCGGGCCTTCAGAAAAAGCGTGGTAGCCATCCGCAGCCTTTACTAAATCGCGTTGTTGGTGGCCAGTACTTCAGCGGTTGCGATGTGTCGTTCTCGGTTTTACTCGGCGCATATAGGACGCTGCGTTGGCACTATGTGGCCGCGATCTAGTCTTCGGAACTTCTCGGACGCTCCGATGGTGTCTTTGGCAAACAAGGTTTCGTCCAGAGCGGATATGGCACTCGTTCGCTCCATTTTCCATTCGGGCAATGCGCGCAATGTCACAAAATTCAAACATCGCTGAAGCTGTCCAACATGAAGAGCTTCCTTCAGCCGCTGTACGCATGCTGGCATAAAGCTGGCTTTCTACATTGCGATGAACGATCAATTTTCGGTCGTTTTTTTTTTTTTTTTTTGAGCGAAGAAATTATCGTCACGTGCGCGTCGTGGTGTTGCTGGTGCCTATAACTCACAGAGTCGCTTGGTTGATGCTGATGCTGATGACCTCTGATGGATGGCGCTTACCCACAAATGGGGATGGGCTAAGAACCGGGCGGCAGGATACTTAAATGAAACTAAACTGGAAATGAAGCCAATCTGAAAAAGTAGCTTAAAATAATACTACTACCAAAAAACAAAAATGTTTGCTGAGCAACCGGTCAAACCATCTTTTGTTTTTGAAAGACATAACTACGAATTATAAACTAAAGATCTGAAAAGGTAGTGGTTCACTAGCACGGTAATCTTGGTTGCTTGACGACGATCCATGGCTTCTCGTGCCACTGTTTGTTTCTTTGAGCCTTACAGAATAAAGCAGATACCCACTCTGGGGGATTAGCCAAAATTTTGTAGGGTTAAATTTTGTAGGTTATTTGAACGATGTTGAATGATAAAGAACAATTCAATAAACAAATAGCGAATACTCGTGGAGATGCGTGGATTTTGTTTTTTTTCCCAACACAGCAAAGAAGCAGTAGCTGATACGGGCAGTAATATATAAGCGCAAGATATATGCATGCGCTGACGTAATAATTAGAACCAAGTCTTTCTCATTGTCTCGCACAGGTGTGCCTGTCTGCCGAACGACTGCCTCGGGAAGGACTGCCAGCCCGACGAGGTGCGCCGCCTGGTGAAGACGGGGAACAGCAAGCCCGGCTCCTGCTGCGACACCTACGAGTGTGTTCCTGGTGAGTCGCGGAAATATTTATACACTCGGGTTTCACTACGCACTTCAAGGCAAAGCCCAAATGAGAACAAAGTTCTGCAGCTCGTTACATACCATGGCCCTTCTTGAAGACTCAAGCCTGCTGCAGACTCGTTATCACATTAAAGGAGCACTGGCACAAAATTTCGCGACCGAGATAGCATGTAGGGTCGATTCCCTGGAACATTCGTGTATCATCTGCAAAATATCAACAGCGAATATAGCTGGGAAGGTACTTTAAGAGAATTTCGAAGTTTGCGTAAGCCCTCGACTCCATCGTGTCATTTACACCCTCGAAGGGGACCCCTTAGGGGAGCCCTTATTTCCCTCACGTCACCACGCTGCAGTCAACAAGTTGTGATGACGTCATAGCTGCCATTTTTCTTTTGCCACGTTTGTTCCCGCAGTCTATATTTCTCGGCGGCTGGTTGCGTGATCGTGGCGCACGTTTAGGAAGTTTTGTGTTAGGTGACATTGCAGTTCCGTTTCCTATTCGAAAGTCATCCTTGATGCGGACCGAGCGGAAGTGTGTCACAGTTCTTTGTGCGGACGCGGTCAAGAGGTGCACACGCTAGGTGGCGACAGTTGCACCCAGTTTTTTGGGGCTCTCCCAAACCGAAACTGAAATTGGTCAATGCAAATAATTATCTGTCGCGTGCTGCAGAAAACGATGTGTCGCGTCACGACTAACAGGGACCCAGCCACACATCTCATCAGACGGGTTTTTGGTAAATTAAAGAAATCTGGAAGCAATGACCACGTGAAAGAATTACAAGCATTAACGGAGCAGTATAAATCATGTGTGGAAAGCGCAAAAACGAAATATTTCGAAGGGCTCAGCAATAAAATGAAAACTAATTCAAAGTGTTTCTGGCATTATATCAAAGAGTGTGGGACTGATCATGTTGGAGTGGCTGAACTAAGCTTTAATAATATAATTGTAGTTGATGAGGAAGCAAAAGCTACCTGTTTAAACAAATATTTCCAGTCTGTGTTCTTGCCCAAGCTTGACGTTATTCCTTCAAAACCACCCCCAACCACGATTCCGCTGATGCCACCGGTAGAACTGAGTGTCCGTGGCATATGTTCTCTTCTAGAAAACCAAGATGAATCGAAAGCAGTTGGTCCCGATGGCATCTCTCCTCGTATTCTAAAGCGATGTGCACTGCCAATTTCCCTTTACCTTTATATAATTTATTCAAAATCCCTTTCAACGGGAACTCTACCCGAAGATTGGAAAATTTCTCATGTTGTTCCGGTTCATAAGGGTGGCTCAAAAAAAGATGTAACGAATTACAGACCCATTTCATTGACGTCAGTGGCATGCAAAATTTTCGAGCACATTTTATCCAAGCACATATTGACCCATCTTACTGCTAATAATGTATTAATAAATGAGCAGCACGGTTTTCGTAAAGGTTTTTCTTGTACGACGCAACTTGTAGAGTTCTTTCACGAGCTGGCTTCCAACGTTGATGAAGGTGGACAAACAGATTGCGTGTTTTTAGATTTTCGAAAGGCCTTTGACACCGTGTCACACTCGCTTCTCCTGGCTAAATTACAGACTCTAAATTTCGACCCAAATGTGTTCATCTGGATAACCAATTACTTGCTGAACAGGCGTCAATGCGTTCTTTTAAATGGGAAGTGTTCATCCTATGTTAACGTTACATCAGGCGTGCCCCAAGGCTCTGTCCTTGGGCCTCTCTTATTTCTTATTTTTGTAAATGATATTTCTGTGGGTATTTCGTCGCGCATGCGTTTATTTGCCGACGATTGTGTGTTATATCGACAGGTTCAGAACAAAGGTGACTGTGCTTATTTGCAGAACGATTTGTATTGTATTGTACAGTGGTGCCAGAAGTGGCAAATGACGCTAAACCCCAAAAAGTGCGTTCATATGCGTGTTTCCAAAAAAAAGAAACCAATAGTAACGGCGTACACCATAGATACGCATATTGTTATTACCGAACCAACATGCAAATATCTTGGCGTTGTTTTGTCGCATGATTGCTCATGGAATGCCAATGTTGATCACGTTGTTAGCAAAGCGGCAAGGGCTCTAAATTTCATTCAGAGGAACCTAAGATTGGCACCCCGAACATTAAAAAATACGGCCTATCTCACATGTATTAGACCGATTTTGGAATACGCATGTCCTGTGTGGGACCCGATGCAGGCGAACTTGATTGATAAGCTTGAAAAAATACAAAAGAGAGCTGCGCGGTTTGTTTTAGGGCGGTACGAGCGGAGAGACAGCTGCAGTGCTATGAAAGCTGAATTGGGTTGGGAATTGCTTTCTTTACGCAGGAAAAAACTGCGTTTGAAGTTTTTCTTTTCTGTTTTTCATGGGCGGACTGGGATTGACCGTCATAACTATTTCAGTGAACCCAGCTACATATCTAGTCGACATGACCACTGACGCAAAGTGAAAGAGTATCGAGCAAGAACGACCATGTTTTATAATTCCTTTTTTGTGATGACCATTAGAGATTGGAACCAGCTGCAAGACGAGCAAGTGTGCTGTATAAACGAAGAATTGTTTTATTCCAGTCTGTAACCCCCCTGCTGTAACGCCTTTTGAGCAAAGCGGGGTACTCACTGAATAAAGAATAAATAAAGAATAAAGAAAGTAGCGAGGCCGATGTTTTTGTGTCAGTGCCCCTTTAAGTTACGCAAACGGTGACCGAATCGACTAGACATCAGTGAGAGAGAGACGCGCATTGAAACCGGAAGTGAGCGCAGGACCGGAAGTTCATAATAGGAAGCTTGCGTTATACAGCAACAACTAGACTCAGTCAAAAAAAAAAGTTTCTTTGTAAAAACTGGCCTAGTAATGATCTTTCCACGCCATCCAAAAGAAAAAGCACAACCAATGTTGGTCAAACATGGGAATACGTAGAGGGCAATAAGGTCTTGTTGGTCCAATATTGGTCCACTATCACGTCGTCCAAAATTATGAAACTCATCTTGATGGCGAAAAGCCTGCTGCACACTCGTAGAAACCAGGAGCATTGTAGAAACAGGAAGCGCATGACCGGAAGAGGGTTGTGTTATATACAAATAAGCTGAAGAAACTCGCTTTAAAAACTGACATCGTAATGATCCTTTCTCGGCATTCAAAAACAAAACACACACACACACACACACACACACACACACACACACACACACACACACACACACACACACACACACACACACACACACACACACACACACACACACACACACACACACACACACACACACACACACACACACACACACACACACACACACGCCCCGCCACGGTGGTCTAGTGGCTAAGGTACTCGGCTGCTGACCCGCAGGTCCCGGGATCGAATCCCGGCTGTGGCGGCTGCATTTCCGATGGAAGCGGAAATGTTGTAGGCCCGTGTACTCAGATTTGGGTGCACGTTAAAGAACCCCAGGTGGTCAAAATTTCCGGAGCCCTCCACCACGGCGTCTCTCATAATCATATGGTGGTTTTGGGACGTTAAACCCCACAAATCAATCAGTCAATCAACACACACACACACACACACACATGTTGTTGAAAGACAATAACCTTCTGTGTGGAGGCGCTTGCATGTCTATTGTTTGTTCGTCCCTAAATTTTGGCGCTGGACCGCGAAAGCCTCGCTTGACAAGTATTCGTTTCATGCGACTTTTCGGTTTATGCGACCAATAAAAGAAATGCTCAGAGTGGCTGGCAGTCTAGGATCGTGTACTCCTTGAATCTCGCATTTTGTCCATTTATGCTTTCATTTTTTTTTCATGTGTAAAGGGCCCCTAAACTACTCCCAGTTCAAAAACGACATAGTGATCTCTTTCACGCCTTAAATACTCTTCCTACAGGTACTGTCTTCTCCTCGTCACTTATTTCTTCATAAAACTGAAAAAAAAAATGTCAGCAATATCGGATACGCAATGGTAAATCAAACACGCGTCATCGAAAACGCGCCAAAGAAAACATATATTGTGCACGATATCCATGCATTCACCAACTGATTTTATTTATTTATTTATTTATTTATTTATTTATTTATTTATTTATTCATTCATTCATGTTACCCTGCAGGCCCCAGAGGAGCATTGAGTAGGGGGGGTTACAGAAAAATCACAATACATAAAAAGAAATATATCGAAGAAAACAAAGAAAATTGCACAATGGAAGGGAGAAGAACAAACACTATAAGCAAATGCAGCAAATAACAAAATGAAAAAAAAATAAAGCATCTTTATACAAAATCAAGAGAACATATAAATTTGCAGTAGCTCAAGAAATTCGGCCGGATCTCTCAAAGAAACAATTTCATCCGAAAGGCTATTCCAAACTGCGAAATTTCTCTCGCATACGGGCCAATCCGGAGCTTATTTTCTCACGACTTCTCGTGAATGGACTGCTGACATCACAACTTGTGCCGTGCCCTACCCCGCCGCGGTGGTCTAGTGGCTAAGGTACTCGGCTGCTGACCCGCAGGTCGTGGGTTCGATTCCCGGCTGTGGCGGCTGCATTTCCGATGGAGGCGGAAATGTTGTAGGCCCGTGTGCTCAGATTTGGGTGCACGTTAAAGAACCCCAGGTGGTCAAAATTTCCGGAGCCCTCCACTACGGCGTCTCTCATAATCAAATGGTGGTTTTGGGACGTTAAACCCCACAAATCAATCAACAACTTGTGCCGTATGAAGACGGGAGACACACACAAAAAAAATGACTCACTCGTTTTTTTTTTTTTTTTGCATTACGAAGGGTTGTTTAGGGGCCCTTGAAAGAACATTGAAACGAGTTGCTATTGCGCACGTGAATGTCTTCCCGTATATGTAGACATTGAAGAGAGACTGCGATAATTGTCTCTCTGGCAACGTCTGTATTCTATTACAGTCCGTCGGGGCCTCGCTTTAATAAGCGGGTCGCGATAAGCCGTTTGCCAAACGAATGCGCATTGCGCTCGACGAAAAAGTAAGAAAAAGAAAACTAAACTACAAAGGAATGCGAACTGGACACTTTCCAGTATCTATATTAGCTTACTACCTAGAATCGTGTTAGTGCTTTGAGCCAGACACACAAGGCATGCGCCGCTACTCACGTTCGATGCTCGCGCGCATAGTTATGTCTAGTAAGTTGGTACCCGCCCTATGATGACTGCCTATCAGTTACTAGTTGTCAAGGGCTGTACGCTAATAGGCGGCCATCTGGTTACTTTAGGCCAGACTTTCCTCCTTCGAATAGCTCGGGTTAAGTCACGCAGTAATAAGAGATGGCGAAAAAAAAAATATGACAGCGCGGTTGCTTTTGAATAATTTTTATATGATGTTATCGTGTGCAGTCATCGTACACTGTCGCAACATGGCGTAAAGCCGGCGAAACCGTGCACAAATAGCATAGCATAGCGATCAGTAGCATATTGAGCGCACATTAGCGCCACGGAGGATTCTCCTTGTTCTTCAAGCGTCTTGATGATAATTGCAGAACAACACTTCTAGGGGTCCGGACTGTAGTATGCCATCGCCATTCGGCGTAACGCAGGCAGAACTACATATAAAAAAAGGAAGCAAGCGAGAATTAGGAAGAGAGAGAAAGAAAGGGGAAAATACGAAAAAAAAATTAGAGCATGTCCAGAAAAAGAAATACAGGAAGAAATGAATAGAAATAAAAAGTTCAAAATATACGGCAAAACCGTAAAGGAAAATCAAAAAGGAGTGCGACTAAGCGATTTTCTTGCTGAATTGCGGTCTCACTACTTTTCTTTTCCCCCCTTTTTTTTTCTCTTGAAGTTCGCGAATTGGCACTTCAAATCACAATGAAATAATTAAGGCTTTTTTTAGGAACGAAGCAACGCAGAAAGTATCGGGCAAATTCACCTTATAATCGGCCAATCTCCTCCTTTGGGTACGAGCCATGTGCGGAGAAAAAACAAGACTGCCCAGCTCCACAGGAATTACTTCAGGCATTAGACCCCTATTGCAGCTGTCTTAATTTTTATTCCTCTCTTATACTGCGATATTATCAATTTATCTCATTGACTAGATATAACGCCACGAACACTGCATGCTGACAGCGTCCAAAGTGTCCGCCGTGAACGCGACACGGTGATAGTGAACAACAACAACAACAACAACAACAACAACAACAACAACAACAACAACAACAACAACAACGACAACAACAACAAACGGAGCGTACGGAAGTGCGACCGTTGAAAGTGCGCCAATCAGGTGCGTTAAAGGCATGGCCACACGTACCCGTTGAAGCGCGTCACCGCGTGGCTTTCTGACGCTGCGCCGCGCCTTGCCCTTATGGAGAGAGAGAGAGAGAGAGAGAGAGAGAAGATACCCGAATCTGTCAACTCTCTTTCATGGGGAGAGGGTGCGGCGCTGACGCTGCGCCGCGCCCTCTTTATGGAGAGAGAGCGAGAGAGAGAGAGCGCGTAGATAGCCGAAGCTGCGCAACTCTCTTTCACGGGGAGAGGGGGCGGCACCGTGTCAGAATCCCACGCGCCGACGCGCTGCGACGGATCCGTGTGGTCAGGTCCTTGCGTGCGCTCTCGGTCGCGGGTTTCTCGACGACCAGCTGTTTCGCGAATGACAATCAGATTTTCATCGAGGTCTCTTCTCTTCCGCCATTCCACATCGTTATTGCCTGGATATGAACGCGTAGCAGTCGTTGTTGCCTGTGGCAACTTATGAGCGATGGCGTTCTTGTTGCCTCTATAGTTCCTGGCTTTCTGGGAGTAACGGTGGGAAGTAAACAGTTCTGGTATTGCAACATTCGGCCGCCATCGTCGTCAAAATACCTTCGTGGCCATAGGTGCTCTTTGAGCAGTGATGTGACAGATCTGCCTGTGTAATAGTGTGCGGTAGACATTCTGCCTTGGGTGATAATGAAGGACGCCCCGCTCGCCTCCGTCCACACGCCTGTCGTTCGGAGGGAGTAGTGCGCCATGCGAATGAAAGAAACACTTTATGCACGTTCTAGCGTTCCTTTGTGATGTTCACGTGTACATGTATAAACGTGCGAACTTGGAAAAGAAAATTAGGCGGGGATGGGTAGCTTAACATGCATACCCTGACCCCGCCAACGGTACTGATCAAGTAATGCACCCCCAACCCTCGCCATGCAGCTAGTGGAGACCACGTGTGCCACGTGGGCAAGGAGACGTACAAGAACGGCGAGACCTGGCACACCAAGTGCAGCACCTGCTCGTGCCGCAACGGCGTCGCCGTGTGCAACGACAACGTCTGCAAGGGAGTCGACACGCACTGCTCCTGGCTGCACAAGCCCGAGGGAGAGTGCTGCCCCGTGTGCCTCGGTAAGCACGTAGGGGTGTTGTGTTTGCACAATACACGCGGTAAGAGAACACTGCAGGCGAAAAACATGCAGGCTGTGTTTCACCTGACTTGCCATATACGTAGCAAACATGCGTGCTGCACATGTATAATTGGCCCAGTATTGCTCCGAGCCATACGCAGCACGTCGTGATGCCTAATCTAGTCTGCCGAGCTTGATAATTAACAAATATTGCTTGTTCATTTACAATACAATTCGTAAATCTTGCAACAATTTTTTATTACAAATGTAGAACTTGTGAAATATTGGACCATTTCATCTGTGCCAAGATAAATGACAATCTGCCAAGCAAGGTAAATAACAAATTTTGCTTGGTTAACCTTTAAAGTACGACTTAATGGAGCATATTTTGTAGAAATGTTTTAACACTTGCCCCGCAGTGCCGAATTATTTCATCCATGCTAAGATAACTGGCCTGTTTAATTTTTTCCGGGTTTTCTTCACACATATTACATTTGTTTGTGTTCTCATTTTCGCCTGAACAAATTTCTGTGAAGTCAGAAAGTCCGCTACTATGTCACTTCTCAAAACCTGCTGTTAAACTGTAATATAACAAGCGTGAATTTAGCAAAAAAGAAATTGTTAACGCAATGCAATGGATGCACATTTATAGCAGATATTGCTTAAAATTGAAGCTTTTTAAAGTCGGGTGCGACCTCTTTAAAACGAGGTATAGTTGAAAAGTGGTACAGCAAACACTTATATAACCAATTATTTGATAAAATGAAGCAAATAAAAAAATGTTTTGCTACTGTTCTAATGCAAAATATGTAAGCCTGCAATGCTCATCAAAAACAGTGATGTGTCTTTTATGTGAAGCTTAAGTTGGTTACTGCGAGATTTGACTAATTGTAATAAAAGCACCGTGTGCAATAAAGGTTAACATTAAAGTTGGAACAGATGCATGTGTGCTTGTGTGTCTCATATATTGCAATATTTGAGACTCTCCTGTATCAAGTGTTTAAGCCTGGCTGCATGTATTCCGATGCTCGCCCCTAGTCGCATTTCTTCTTTTATGTTGTAAACAACCTGTGACTGCATTGCATCAGGTTGCCTGACATCGTCGGGGCTTCGCTTCAACAACGGTGAGCGGTGGAAAGAGGACGACTGCACCTGGTGCGAGTGCATATCGGGCAAGGCCAAGTGTGAGGCACAGATGTGCCAGACCAAGTGCGCAAATCCGGTCAAGAAGCCAGGCGTTTGCTGCCCCGTCTGTGAAAGTGAGCATCAACATACTTTTCTTCGATCAGCCAATAACTTAAACTAGAAGACTTTGCATATACGATTATTTGAAGTGATATTTTGCCCAATGCCAGAAAATTATTATGCTTTGGGAAAACAGTAGAGACTGGCAAACTTACTATGTATGCATGCACGTATGTATGTGTGTATGTGTATGCACATACTTACGTACATGTGGATGTAAAGATAGAAAGATGTTGCAGTTTCAATTGGACTCAACATAATATATGCAGAAAAAATACGACAAACTCTTTGCAAATATATTTTTACCGAACATTCTCAGCTGGTTGGCTAGCATAAATGTTAAGTAACTCAGGCGAAGGCTGCTCCACAACATACAGAATTAATAGACAACAAAATTACAGGTCTTTTCTGACAGGGGTGCTTCCCAGCTTGCATGAGCCACATCGCTTGCTTCCTTACAAATTGTAGACCAGTAGTGACCGAGTAACTGCTTTGGCGAGAAGTCCCGCATGCCATGAACCCTCAAGGAGGCGGGCGTGCGTGCTTTGTGACTTCGATTCTCATCACGAGTCGAGGTGAGTGAGCAAAACCAACCGCTTATCGCCTGTGCAGAATCGCCATCGTCATCGCCTTACCCAACTCACGGCAGCCCCAACCACACGAGCTTGTCTCGGTCGTGTCCGCGTGACGATCGGAGCGTGTGGCGAGATCAGTGCCGCCATTGCGCATGCCTGAATGGTCACGAGGTCTGCTCCCTCGTGGCTTGCCCGCGAACCTACTGCGAGCACCCTATCATGGAACCCGGAGCTTGCTGCCCTGTTTGCCAAAGTGAGTGATGCACCCAACGCTTACACTTCCCTTGATCCTTCTCCGTAGCAGGTGCTCCTGCGTAGTGCTATGCACAAACGTCGTATGCAGTTAACATCAAGATTTTTTAAAGAAATGTGCTTTCTTGGTGCTCAGGGAAGTTTACAGAAAGAACTCTTCTTTCTGATACCTTCTCTGCGCACTAAGAAAGTATATTACTTTCAAAAATGGAATACCAACCAGCCCAAGTAAACTCTTTTGTAGCATCAAGAGTTTCCAGACTTGAGACACAAGAATGAGCACAATGTTCCTGGTGCTTCAATAGACAGCCTTGAATTTCGATTTTCGCCCTTTTCTAAAACACTATAGCAACATGTACTGCACATACTGACCAGATGAGGTCTGAAGTTTCTGGGAAATTCGAAGTTTTTGCTGACCGAGTAGTCTCTTAAAGGGGAAATGTTGACTGCTAAAGAACATTGCGCATTGTGTTCCTCAGCACACATAAACTATGTTTTTGTGCATGCAAGAGCAACAGAAAGGACCAGTTGCTGCCAAGGGCCCTACACAACTGAACGAATTTAACGTGCAAAATCGGGCTGGCACTTGCTCTGCCTGATTTTGCAAGTCATGCAACACACTGTATTTAAAGTCATTTCTACTTTCAGTGCTGTCAAAGGCCATCGCATCAGTGGAACAGTCAGGGTGAAGGTTTGAGTGGTTATAACACTCGCCACCAAAATTTCACTTTTTCTGTTTAAACACAGGTGTTGGCAGACGCATACAAAAGGGGCACTTCCCATAGCCATGAGTGGTACACGTTAACATACCCAGGGCTAAAGCTCCAGCACAACTGTGACTAACACTGGTCATGTGACCAGTTAGGCACAAAGTGACTGGTCACGACTGGTCGCTTTGGTCGTGAACATCTGAACCAATCAGTGCAGAACAAATGAGGTGCAACAGAACATCAGCTTCTCTTACAGAGCAATGACAACACGATTTATACGTCAACAAATTTGAATTTAGTATGGCGATGAGCAAGTCATGTGCAGGTGTGAACATTAGTCACCTTGAGTCACTTTTTGGTCGTTATTTGCAAATGGTCAAGTCACCGCTGCTAGTTGTCGCATGTGTGGAAGAGCCTATACACATGCATGAAATAGACAGGGGAGCATCATCTGTCGTAGCATAACTGTGTAAGCATTGCACGCAGAGTGCACAGCTTGTGGGTTCAGTCCCTAATTGCGGCAAATTGTCGCCTCCCTTTATAAAACAACTACCGCACATCGACAAAAATGACAAGTAACTTCCACAACGCTCTTCATGGCTTATTTTCTCTTGGACTTCATAAGCTTGCACCCTTACTGTGTCATGCCACGACTATACTTCCGCGTGAATAAGCTGATCTGGCCCGTGACTTCCTCTTGTCAGATGATGCAGCTAGCCCATTCCACTGGCCACCGGCAGGCACTGGCGTGTGCCAGGGTCTGGACGGCCACATTCATCGTGAAAGCGACAGCTGGTGGCTGGACGACTGCGTTCGGTGTGAGTGCGTAGATGGCATGGCCCTGTGTGACACCATGCAATGCCCTCCAGCACCATGCGCCAACCCGACAAGAAAGCAGGGTCAATGTTGTGCCACCTGCACGGGTCAGTATCGCTATGCCTAGCTTTGCTGTCTGCTCTCTTCGTGTTGCTGTTACTAATACACAAACCTAACCCATTGGCTTACATCATTCTCACTCTGTGTCCAAGTGTGCAGCTGCTACACTCCTTTTCACACATCACGTGCAACGCTATGAAAGTTAGCAAGACATTTTGCAGTAGATGCATTTACAACAAGAAATAGTAGTTCAATAATTTTAGCCCCCCATAATCTAATTCTTAACAGCAAAGCTCTTCAAGCTGGCCATAATCGGTCCAATGTGGGCAAAAATATCTGCGCAGTGACGCCGCCGCCACAAGTTGCCAAGCAACCCGTCGCACAGCTGCGTGCCTGCTGCATCAGCACATACAGGGAGGGGGCTCTGCCACCTGCCCAGCCATGCTAGATGTAATGCCCAGTAAATTGTGAACGCAGTCCTTTGTTCTTTAGAAAGCCAGCCATGGTAGCAGCATGCTAGACGCATACATGGCAAGACCGGGAAGTGGGAATTGCGGCACCTGGCCTAGCGAAACAGCTAGACTCAATTAGTTTAAAGTAGTCCATGATGTAACATGGCTGAGACAGCGAGCGGCGACTGTGCAGTACTCGACTAGACCTTGGATTATTCCGTATAGCTCAGCATCAGATCAGATCACTTCATATACCTTAGCATCACTTAGCACTACTTCATATGGCCAGGGCAAGCTAGGTAGCAATCAGCTCCGCTGTGCCTTTTGCATTGCTCATCAGTGCAAGCTATACCTGGCAGTGTTTTCTTTTTTTTTTTGTCTCTATTCTGTAATATATAATTTTTGGGGTTTTATATCTCGAAATAATGATGTTACTTTAAGAGGCACTGTATTAGAGGCCTCTGGAAATACCGTCTATCAAAATATAGTCACCATGGCTGGGATTCAATCCCATGACTTCGGGTCAGCAGTTGAAAACCACGACTACTATACCACATCACGAGCCATTCTTAAACCAAGTAATAAATGAAGATTTGTATTTAAAAAAAAAAAACAAGTCACTAGATATACGGTAGTCAATAGGTTGTTCTGGATCGCTCAACATGCCCGTTTTCTTGTTTTATTGTCGTGGCCTTCACAATTAGTTCCGGTGGCACTCAGCTGGTAGCACCCAGTTGCGGAGGCCACGTTTCGCAACGATGAAATGCAAGTGTGAGACGCACGAATTCAGATTTCGCTGACCGAACTTCTGGCATAACTTCCACAACACTGCAGCTGATATACAAAATGAAGTGTAGAGGTAGTGCATCGGCCCAACCATGCTTGTCGCTTCCAACTGACTGTGGTGCCATATTTTACAGAAGAGGAACAGCTCGGCAGCAACCAGTCCAACCAACTTCCGTGTGTGGGCGGATACAAGGACGGTCAGTCATGGCGTCCGGAGCCCTGCCTGAGCTGCCTGTGTCGTGCTGGCAAGGAACGCTGCTTCCGTGAAACCTGCCCACCTCTCACGTGCTTGGAGCCACTGTTCCTCAAGAATCACTGCTGCCCAATCTGCCCGAGTATGTCTGCCACCGGTTTCAATTCGCAAAACCAATGTTCCGTATCCCTCTATAACAGACTGCCTCTTACTGTCAAGTCACGTAAACTTTTCTAATTTGAGTGCAATGTATACAAACGACTAATTGATATTAAGACCTTTAGTTATCACTTCAGGCTCATCTGTTCACTAAATATACTTTTGTTGATAGCATTACAGAAATAAAGCCTCTACTAGTTATGTTTCACAATACATTTATGATGGGATTGATTGTTTTTGCATTGTTTTAGCTTCATGTACTTACTAGCTGAATGTGACAATTTTTGTTTCTGGACCAGCATTGTTACATAGTATTATCCTTTGCATATTAGCAGATGTACGCTGTACAGTCAAACTCAAATGTATATGATCTGAAGAAATCATTAGAAAAGTTTATATTTCGGTAATTCTATATGTAAAATATTTCATTTTTCATAAATATATACCAGATGACTTTACAACTGTTCAATATACACAATAATTTGCTATACGTTGTGGCTTCAATATATGCGGCTTTGAGTGTCCTTAAAATATGTCTTGCACTTACTTATATTTACTACAGTCCCAACAACATATCCTAATTGAATTTTTGCTTGCTTATTTAAATTATTTGCATTACTAATAGTAACTGTACATAAAATTATTTGGTATTCTGCAAACAAGAGGCCATGTTACATTCTCTGACACCAGGACGTTGTTTTTTATATTACAGTTAAACCCCTTATAAGAGGCATGCTTCTGGCAGCTGTTCTTGTCTTTTATGTGAGATGTCTCTTATAAGCAGGGTGCCTCAAAGGCATATTTTTATCAACTCGTATTTTACTACTGTAGGCGAACTGCTGTCTTTCATATCCATTTGTCCCTCATATCAGTGCCTCCTATGAAGGAGTTCGACTATATTACACTGTGATGCGCTTTCTGTAATAAGTAAAAATCACAGCAGTGGTCAGACGTGATAACAACGTTTCTTTCTCTTTTTTTTTTTTCCCTGCTGTTCACTGAAGCAGCAGCCACATCTTCTAAGGCGACCCCAGTCTGCAGAACAGATGGGAAGGTGTACGCCGACGGGGCATCCTGGTCTCCCGACAACTGCAAGCGCTGCCACTGCACCTTGGGCCAAGTACAGTGCTCCGAGATGGGCTGCCCCCCAAACATGTGCCGGTCAGCCAATCACACGTCGGGAAGCTGCTGCATACCTTGCTCATCGGGTAAGGCACCAAAAACTTCCATCGTCTCCAGAAAGAATCAATAATTAATTGATCTCCGCCCCTTCCCCTACAAAAGCTTTCTGCACATAACACGCTTTTGCATTGCCTTCAGAATCAAAGGCATTGCAAGCTTTCTGTAGCTTATTTGGTTTAACACGGCCTCTGTGATCAGCACATCTTTGACTTAGCAACAATGTCATGTGACAACATCATCATGTGACATCACATCATGGTCACGGTGGCCATGACATCTCATAACCTGCCATGGTCATGGTGACGTCACAGATTTTCGCTATCTGGGACATTGTCACATGATGATTTTCAGGAGCGGAGCTCCTTATGGTCCAGGGCTGTCCACTCCTCCAGCATAGCCAGCACAGCTTATAGACAGACAGACGCTTTGCCTCACTCATCATTCACCCCGCGGATAAGCTGTGATATTTTTTTTTGCATTGCTCACATTGACTCTGACGTCTGGCGGTGACAGACGACGATGGTTGATTTTTGCATTTGATGAGGCATCTAAAGCTTCTTCCGCCTTTACAGAGTCGCCAAAATCAGCATAGACATTGCAAAGCTTCAAGTATACTCTGAGATCTTGCTTTCATTATGTTATTCTTACAAGCCACATACTTCATGCTCACATATCAGCTATCTCAATGACCCCTGTTCTGCCGTAAATGTAGACTGATGTTGATGTACTGTGCAGTGTCAGTGCACATTAAAGAACAGCAGATTGTAAAGGTTTCCAGAGCCCTCCTCTACAGTGTGCCTCAATGTCATATGATGGTATCGGCCACTGAAACCCCAGATAATATTAGTATTACTGATCTTAATATTAATCAACTAGTCGCCTGTAAGGAATTGACTAAGCAGAATTTCCCGGCTGCGGCGGCTGCATTTCCGATGGAGGCGGAAATGTTGTAGGCCCGTGTGCTCAGATTTGGGTGCACGTTAAAGAACCCCAGGTGGTCTAAATTTCCGGAGCCCTCCGCTACGGCGTCTCTCATATTCATATAGTGGTTTTGGGACGTTAAACCCCACATATCAATCAGAATTTGAACACATACAAAGACAAGCCTGATGCAAAAACACCTTGATCCCACTGTCATGCTAATGGTGTCACGGTCTGGTACAACTGGCATGTTCACACCGAATATCCTTGTCCAATGAGCCTGCACGTTATTTCTACTGTTATGCTTTGGAGCTTTCGTTTTAAATCTCATAATTTAAGCACCAAATGTAGCGATATGATTAAAGTGGGGTACACCAGATTGGAGTGCACTGCACTGAAGATCTCTGACATATATAATGCACTCCACATGTTGCTGCCCTAATACAGCTATAATAATCCTAGCACCCATTGATCACCACATTATCTCAAATGATCTTCTATTTTGTCTCTCCACAGATGGAGCCGTTCGATCGTCAAACCAGTGGCAGTGCACGCGAGGTGGCCTGGTGTTCGCTGACGGAGAGCAGCGTGTCATCGACAATTGCAACCGCTGTGAGTGCAGTCGTGGACACCTGCACTGCCAGGAGACCGTCTGCCACCAGGACTTGTGCCGAACCCACAACCACAGTTCTGGCAACTGCTGTGTGCAGTGCACTGGTGAGCCAAGACATAGAGATAGTTATACACAGTGTGTCAGGTTATTTGACCTGGTAGTAAAAAAAACAGTTGCACTACGAGTGTCAAATTGACTCAGTTATGAGCTGTATGCAGTGCATCAAGATATTACTTTTAGTCAACTAAGCCAAGTAATTAAGAAATGTTGCTTATTTATGTTTTAATTAGTAACTCCAACAATAAGTCTCTATGCAAAAATTGTTCTGAAACATAGAATTGCAATAGAAGCTTGTTCGTGCATACCTGAAAAAATGCAGAAAATAAACGTGCAGTTCGATAAAACATATGATTTGGATCAGGTTAATTTAATTTTCGCAATTGCAAGCATAGGAGCCGGGAAATCATATTAAGCAGGAACGTATCAACGAGGTTCTACTGCATTTGATCTGTGAAGCAACCAGCGTTTTCTATTTGTATGATGTTTCTGCCGTCTACTCCTCATCACAAGAAAATGAAGAGTAAGGACATAAAAATCCATTGCCTAAAATCGCACTCATGCCTCTTTCAACTTATGGAAATCAGTCAAACACTCTATCTCTGACTTGTGTCACAATAAAGAAAAACAGACGCATGATGCCCCAGTAACATCACACAAAAGTTGACACAATATCTGGCCACATAACTACAATAAAGCCGGGGAGGGGACTCCATAGTGTGAGAATGACAGTCGTCAAGGCAAAATGTCCTTTGACAACAAGATTTCCAGGAATAAGCATTAGCATATTTGTGGGTCACTAAAGACTCACAGAGTAGGTGCTCAAGCCCACCAATTAGCCTCATAATTAACAACCTTGGAAAACATGTCAATGCATAATCGAAAGTAGTTTGGGCATTGAAGATGACTCGCCTAAGGTCTTGATGTTGAGAACCTGTCCGAAAATGCGCTCTCAGTACCAGCAGCAAGATGGGTTGCTGTATTAAAAGTAGTTGTGTGGCGTTTACAAAAATACCATTCGTGAAGCAGTTTGTCAGTCAGCCAAAGAACTTTATTGAGGTCCTAAGGAACTACGCAGACGTAGTTGCGGGCTGCTCTCACACTGAGGCGAGAAGACCATGCTCCTTTGCCCTTTCACAGGCTCTTTGGACAGCCCTCAGTTGGTCCTAAAGATTGCCCCGCTAAATAAGATAGATGTGAACTGTAGTAGACAATAAACGCGAACACGTGACAAAACTGATAAAACAGGTGCAGCACAAACTAACAATTTATTGGCTAGAAACATTACCTTATTTGCACATACGCTGGAACACACATTGTGTATTACAAAGCAAAAGCCAGAACCTCAAGACGCACTGTACTATCGGCCAGATAAGGAATTCCTTTAACTGATAAAGATAGACGGCATGCTGATGCACTTGACTTTGAGACATGACAGTTTGTGAGCTTCAATAATTAGGCGTTTCATTTCATTTCGGTTTTTTGCTATGACAGTACCTTCTGCAATTCAAGTTTACAACCAGAATTACGGCGCTGTTTCTTCTTGTATTCCCATTTTCCGCGTGCAGCAGTTTACTTTCATATGAATTACCAGCAAGCCCAAGTAGAAAACCCCAGGAATAAGAAGGCTTGGAGTCACGAAAAATTTTGGTTAAAATGTCACTGGTGCCAGTGTTTCAGCAAGTGGACTTGTCTGAGATTTGCTTTACTCGACGAAAACAAGTCTGCGAGCTGAAATGTTTGCTTTAGTGGCATTTCCTGTTCAACAATTTCTGATTGTCTAGAATTCAGAAAAGAAAAGGCAAAGTCATCTCATAGCTTTGTGCTACTATTACAATATAATATATTGGAACATTACTGAATGCTCTTCTAAAACATGTTGCAAGATCCACTGCTCTGGAACAATCCTATTTTGCTGGCCTTACTTTAAAGACTAAACTAGCATGGAACATTCCAGATGGCTAAATAGGACTGATAACAAAATTCTGCACTTTTTTATCAGTCCTACACTGTTTCGCACTTTTTCCATGTTGAAATACTAGCAACCATTCTAGACTCGCACCTTTCTGGCTTTAATTGGCCGTCGAAATATTCTTTAGAAAATGTATATTCAAACGATTGGGTTTCTTTTCTTCTTCCTCCCCACATCTTTTCACACACAGAACTTCACCACTACATCAAGAGCACCGGCAGCGACGTGGTCGGCTACGTGATTGCCATCGTGATCCTGGTCACCATCATCGTGGTTCTCATGTGTGTGGCTTGCTTGTGGAGGCGGAAGAACACCAGGCCGTTCAACAAGCCCAAGCCAACGCACTACCAGAAGACCGCGAACGGCTACGTCTGAGAAGCTGAAGTCAACCATGTCTTTACTCCGCCGTTTTTCTCGACACCTTCGCCCCCCCTCCCTACTTTCCCCGAATGCTCCTGGTCTTTTTCTTCAAGTGCGTGCACTTTGTGATATCGAGTATTTATGCCAAAGCCGGCAAGAATGACCAGGACTATAGCGGTGACGTTGAGGTTCCCAACACCTGTGTATGGCAAGGACACCGATGTAACCTTGAGAACTGCTTGGTGGCCTTGTCGAGAGAATAGTGTCACGACCTCGTCACGGCTTTTTCAAGGATTTCGTCGAGGCAGCCGCTTCACTACCTTGCCAGGGAAGCTGTCAGGTGTATCACAACCTAGTAGAGAGAATGCTGTCACAACCTCGCCAGGGTAGTTCCGTCGTGACCTTCAGTAGTGCGTCACGACCTTGTAAAGAAAACAGTGTCATAAACTTGCCAAGGAAGTTGTGCTATGCCCTTGCCAACAGTGTCACAACCTTTTCAAGCGTGCTGCGTCACGACCCCGTCAAGTGCGCCGCGACATTGCAGGGACAACGGTGCCGTGACCTCACGAAGGAAACTGCAGCACGACCTCGTCAAGACAACTGTGTTGTGCATCAGATCTGCCGTGTTCGCGCAAACACTTTCAAATCCGTGGCACAGACTGCTTGGGCAGGGGAGAGAGTGAGGCACCATGACATATCCGAGGACGTGTGCTGGAACATGAGGCTGTATGCAGCGGCAGAAGGAACAGTGAAAGATTTTGGTTTCGAACAGTGATGACATTTCAGTGGCTCTGCGGAATTCCTTTTATTGCATGTGCATGTGTGGACTGTATCAATGTATTGCGCTGGTCCTCACATGTTTGAGAATAGTTCTGTGCACTTTCTCGAACTAATGTGGAAACGGGGGCGAATCGTGCGCCCAGCTTTGCGTGGTGGATGTGCAGCCGAAAGGCAAAGCACGAAATGACTGTGCCATAATGGGCAGACAGGTGATGTTTGTCATATGTGGGCCACTAAGATGTATGATCTCCGTATACTGCTTTGATGACTTTTATCCCGTACGAGGTTGAATACCTGCACAGGGGCACGTTCGTACAGTGTGTCCTTTCGTCGTTGCAAGAGCATGCAGATTTCGCAGCATGCTGACAGAAAGAGAATGGGATAGCACGCACACTGCGAGCAGCTCGAGGCAGTTCAATACAATGAGGAACTTTTCATTGGCTTGGTTCACGCCATCCAGCAGTGAACTGAAAAATTGTGAATATGTCTTTTACTTCCTTGCTCCACAGTTGCTGAAGGCCATAAACCTTTCAGTGATGTAAGTGAAGGACGTTAGGACATTGTACATATACAAGTTGTTGTCGACAAAGTTTTAAGTCTGCAGTGTCAATGCAAAAATAATAAGAGTGAAATGAAAATGTGTTCGTGTCGGAGTTGTGTGATTTCGTCAATGTCGTGCCTCACGGCGATTCCCTTTTGAGTCTTTTACGCTCAGCATGGGGACATCTGTTTAGCTTGGGAACATTTGCTTATTTAGGAGGCACTTGTGCGGTTCTGCCCCCAAAAATGAAGTTGAAGGAAATTCATTAGCGTACTTTCTTCGACTGGTGTTCATTGTTTAGGCCGAATTCCTCGAGGGCAGTTCGTGAAGCTGTCAGCTGCCTTCGCTTTTAATCGCTGCATTTCTGTTTGTTCAATATATACATACAAGTAAGATAGCAGACTGATCGATTCTCTGTCTTGTGCATGATGAAAATGATTGTAGAGGACTATCTATTAGCACTGTTTTGCAAGATCCTCTGCACTTTTAATTATGAAGTTGATGGTTTATAAAATTTTTATTGATTAACTAGATGCATCAAGCTTCTCGCACAAGCTGGACCTTCAATGTGTCTAGCCAAAATTTGCAAACCGTTTAATTAGGTTAACATATTTTAGTGGGAGCATATTGTATAGTTACCCTGCATGGTGGAAAACTCTACATGTGTGTGACAGAGTGCTATTAGAACTTTTATATTTTTCAGTGATACATAACAGAGATATAGTTGAACCTCGATATGACGAAGTTGTGGAGATCTCAAGTATTCCATCCAAACTTTATTACACTGCAGTACCTCAAGGGGAAATGGTACTCAAAGAAAAAAATGCTGCTTTATTCTGTAGCCTGGGGCAATGAAATTTTTGCTGAACTATACGTAGGTTTCCATGCAGATTTCAAATATGTAATCAGCTTCATAGTAAGTTGCATAGTTTTCATTTTGTACCATAGCAATGGGTAAAATATGGTTCTTAATTGAAAAACGTTTTCTGCCGCTAGGCTTCTATGGTTATGAGCCATTAATGGATTATATTGCTCCACAGTGGCAATTATTATAATGTGAGATGCTCTCTAATATTCAGCCCACACTCAGTGCTCACTCAAGGTTCATAATAACAATAAAAAGATATCTAGTTTTAAAGGAGATAATTGTACCGTTCACATGCTTAGAAATATCTGGTGAAAGTTTCATTCCGGGCTGGTCATTAGAAGTACCAAAAGCAATGATTAAACTCAAGCAGCTGCCCGATATTTCCCCATGGCAAGAAAATCACATTTTATATCTAGAAATGAAAACTCATCTACAGGGCAAAGATAAGCTATCTAAAACGATTTATTCCATCATAAGAGCTTGGAAATCATGGTTATTTTGAGCATGTGGCTTTGGTGAACTCCTCATGTGAAATGCAATAGCAAAAATTTCCAGAAAACTCTAGACAATTAGCTCTTTTTAATTTTTATTTGCCACCTTGTGCTCTTGAAGATCAATTTTAACCTAGTTCAATTTTAGTTACAACCTTCATTTTTTTATCATACAAGTACAGAAACAAAATTTGTGATAGCAAGTAAAAGCAAAAATATGTAAATTTGGAAAAAAAATTTTTCTTCAGTAGCATCTCCCCTTAGATACCCACGTAAATTTTCCTGAAGGATTTTTTTTTTCTGATGAACTTTTGAAGAACCACTCACAAAGCAACCAAGTGAGTACAAATGCCCTGCAATGTTTTTGCTTATGCTTCAATCTTCACATTGTGGAATCAGTTAAAGCTTTGTTGCGCAGATATTGCGGGAAAACTAAATATGAGCAATACAACTCGCCACACCAGAGTTCGTTGAGTCGAGGTTCAACTGAAGTTGTAACTTTCAGTGTCACACTTACTGCTGCGGAGGGCAGACAGTACTTTGTAAAGTTTTTAGTATAGTGTGTGGTGTCATAGTTGCCAATCGTGGTGTACTGTTCCAGATGATGCTCTGCCTGTTATTCGAGCTTCTAGCGAAAGCCAGAATGAAATGGCAGTGCTATGTATACATATATATTTTTTTCCTTTTTGTGAAGTAGACGGCAATGAGAGCATGAACAGTGCACTGTTTGTTCCAAAACAAGATTTTATGAAATGAGTAGAAAACACAATCTTATTTGTGTTTCCATTCCTTCAGAACACTGTCGAGTTTTTTAAAAGTCTTTTAGGAGAAGCACAACATGTATATTTATGACTTTGTTTGCGGTTGTGCAGTTTATCGACTGTGCACGTGTGCGTGAGTGACGGATGAAAAGAACGCAGAGCGACAGCTTTTTTTTTTTCCTCCTCCTCGGCTCGGTGTCGGCCACAAATAAAAATCTGAACATTTTACTGTACAACTCTGGTGCTGTGTGGTCCATTCCTTAGTTCAAGGCATCACAATGTAATTATTAACAATGGTGCTGTTTATACCAAGCGTCAGTCTGCAATCTGATAACAAAGACTATCCTCAACATGAACCAACACCCAGTCTTAGTACTCTGCTTTTCTTTTCGCCCTTACGCTTCTCTCACAGGATATGTGCGTCAATTTTTCTGGTGCACAATATTGATAACTCTGATGGGTGAATACAAGGAGAAAAATCACTGGAGAAAAATTTTTTTTGAATTTCAAACCAGCGTGGCCAAGATCCGAAACAAGCATCAGAGCCACTTAACTATCCAAGCATGCTAACAAAGCATAAAAACTAGGAAACGCTTAAGTTTCGCCTTTATGAGCTGAATTGCATTAGCAATAGTCATACCCATCCTCATCGCTCTCTGTTTCGCTTGTCAATAAAGTTCAGTCACCCAGCCATCCACACACACAAACACATGAACACACCCACACGACATGAATTGTGCATCATTTGGCCATGTCCTGTTAGCTTATGCCAGAGAAAAAAAGAAAAAAGGAGAAGTGAAATGTATGGTTCATTATGATTATGGTGGACAAGAAGTGGTGTAGATATGAAATAGCCACGCACAATAATTTCCTTAGTCTAGAATCCAGCCTGACACTCGGACACTGCATAACAAACCGTCTGCAAGATTTATTGCTTCTGCACCATGGAATTGCATGTAATTTAAAAGATTACCTGCTGTTCATACGTCGTGTGTGCATCATTTATAAGCGCAAGTACACTGCCACAAACGCGATTACGCCGCTTCATAGATAGCTTTGCGAAACATTGGTCAGTGATGACAGAAGGATGCGTTTTTATTTATTTATTTTATTTATTTACAATACTGCCAGTCTCTTACGAGACCAAAGCAGGAGGGCATGAGTTACAGAATACAATGAATGCTAAGTACTTTCTTACAGGCGGCATACAGAACTGTAGTTATTTTAAAATTGGTAATAATATTCCTAGTTACATAGAAAACATTACACATAGGTATTTATGCACTCCAAATATTCACACTTCGGAAGCAGCAAACTGAATTTTTGCTGCATAAAAGAATCAATACGGTTTTATACAGAGAAGGCATTGTGTACACTTATACATCCAAATAAATACTACTGGAAAACAATAATGGTGGTCATGGTTGAAGAAAGCCTTTGTCTCAAAGTATAGTCTCAATTTTTGAAGTGAATTCTGCCAGTGATGGTGCGTTAGTAATGGAGGGATCTTACCTATTCCATTCGCTGATTGACAGGGGGAAAAAGGATTGCTTGAAACAGTCGTTGTTGGAAGCGTATTCTTTGATAGTGTATGCATGTTTATGTCGTAGTGTTCGTGATTCTGCCAAAGATATGTACCTGGATGCATCGATCCGGCTGTGGTTATGCAGAATGTGGTATAGAAATTTGAGACGCGCGATTTTTGCTCTTGTTGCAAGCGTGGGTAGACCAGAGGTTTCTAAAAGGTTTGTGGGCGTGTCGGTGCGTTTGTACTTATTATGTATAAACCTAATGGCCTTCCTTTGAACCCGTTCAACTTTTGCTATATTAGTAACACCTCGTGGGAACCACACAGTGTTAGCGTACTCCAAGATTGGTCGCACAAATGTGGTGTAAGTTAGGAGTCTAGTATCTGTCGGTGCGAAGGGTAAATGCCTTTGTTGGAAAAACAGTTTACGCAAAGCCGATGCTGTAACATTGTTAATGTGCGCATCCCATCTTAATTCGGAAGTCAAGGTGACACCAAGATACTTCTGCTGTGTAACTCTTTGTAAAGGTACGCCGTTAATTGTATAGGTAAAGTCGGAGGGTTCTTTTTTCCTGGTTACCGTCATGCAAACTGTTTTTGTTAGGTTAATTAACATTTGCCACTGCTCACACCAGTGAGCAATCTTACTCAATGAATTATTTAAAGATAAATGGTCATCCGAACTGTTAATTGCTCTATAAATAATGCAGTCGTCTGCGAAAAGTTTAATTTTGCAGTCTATGTTATCAGTGATGTCATTTATGTAAATTAGAAATAATAATGGCCCTAGGACGGAGCCTTGGGGAACACCTGACTTAACTGGAGCCGTCCACGACGATACTCCTTCGAAAACCACGAACTGTGACCGGTTTATAAGAAAGTCTCTTACCCAGTTCGTAATTTCCCCATCCCCAATAATGTTCTGCAATTTCGAAATCAGTTTAGTATGACACACTCGATCGAACGCTTTTGCTAAATCAAGTAGAATTACGTCAGTTTGGCCACGGTTGTTTATACTGAGTGCAAGGTCGTGAACAACCTCGGTAAGCTGCGTGATTGTTGATAAACCTTTCCGGAAGCCATGTTGATGGGGGGACAGAAGATTGTTGTTTTCTAGGAAAATAGTTAAATGCTTAGCGATTATATGCTCTAGTATCTTACATGACGTACTGGTGAGGGATATAGGTCTAAAATTAGAAGGAACAGCGGTATCTCCGGTTTTGTGTATGGGTATCACCTTTGCTATTTTCCATTCTGATGGCAGTTTTGCTGTTTCTATAGATTTGCGATAAATTATGCCGAGGTATTTACTGCACAGTTCTGCGTATCGAAAAAGAAATTCATTTGCAATATTATCGTGGCCACTGGCTTTCTTCGTGTCTAGATTCAAAAGTAGGTTAAGAATCCCGGGGTCGCTTATAACTAATGGTTCAATGGGAATTCGGGCTGTAGGCAAGGCCGCAGGAGTGGTGCCATTGTCATCAGTAAAGACAGATTGAAAATAATCGTTGAAGATATTGGCCTGGTTTGTTTTATCGCTATCGCTTAAACACGACTTTGTTTCAGCGGCAGGGCGAAAATGTTTCCAGAATTGGTAAGGTTTTTTTTTATGCAACACGGAAGCGTTGAAGTAAAATGTTGCCTTTTGGCGAAGCTAGCTTTTTGTTTGAAGTCTGTAATAGCACGTGCTAGGTTAGATGCGGTTACTGGATTCTTGCCTTTCTGTTTGATTGCTTGGCGTAGCCTCTTAACTTTTCGCTTTGCGTATAAAACTTCGCGGGTTATCCAAGGATTATGTTTTTTTTGCCTTTTTGTTTTCAGTGGGACAAAGTGGGTAACGCAGAACACAACGATAGTCTTGAAGCACGACCATAGATGATTTACATCAGTCGTTGGATGTATAGCAAGGTTTGAAAAGTTTTCAAATTCGTGAGCTAAGTAAGTTACAATGCTGGCATCATCACCTTTAGGGAAATTTCGTACAGTAGTTACTGATGAACGTGGTGTTATGTCATATCCTAGTTGGAGCTGACAGATTGGTATGCGGTGATCTGATATCCCCGGAATCACATTGACGACTGATTTATTTAACGGGAACTGGCCACTAATCAATATAAGGTCGAGTACGCTTTTTGTTTGATCTTTTATACGTGTTGGCGCAAGCACGACTTGTTGTAGATTGAAATTTAAAATTAAATCAATAAGTGTCTCCGATGACTGTGACGTGTACTGCATGTTGTTCCAATTTATGTCGGGAAGGTTAAAGTCACCCATGATGATTAGTCCAGAGTTATGGGCATGAGTTTGAAGATAATCTTGGATCGCTATAATACATTTGTTGTCTGATGAGGGGCTTCTGTAAACGCACCCGGTTACTATGCTAATTCCATCACAATGAATTTTACAGAATACCGCCTCTGCGCCTATAACATCGGGAAGCACGATAAAAGGAATCGATTTGCTTATCAGCAGGGCCACACCCCCACCACGTGTGGGACGATCTTTCCGGATTACAACGTACTCCGGGGGAGTGAATTCGTCGTTTGAGATACCAGGCGTCAACCATGTTTCCGTGATGGCGACTATGTGTGGCTCTTGATCAAGCAGTAGTTGTTCAAGGCTTGCTGTTTTATTTAGTATACTGCGGGCGTTTACGGTTAGTAACGTTATTTCTTCGATTGGGCGTGTTGTCGGGTCTTCGGGCGGTTTACTGTGCCGTTTTTTTCTACTGGTACCCTTTCACCCTTTTCGTCGTCCCAGACAAAAGCGACATCGTTAATATAAAGCTTGGTGTAAGCTAGTGCGACTTGGTCTTTTTTTTTCCCGATTAGTTTTGGCGCTGTCCCAAAGCTTTTTCCTTTTGTTACCACTACCACGCGTGAGAATTCAAAGCTTTTTCCTTTTGTTACCACTACCACGCGTGAGAACAAATAGTGTTGCTCGGCTGAAGCTGTCACCCACGCACGTACACAAACACTTCTTACTGTTTAACTTCTGTAGAAAATGTAGCCGGATACCCCCTTCTAGATTGGAGCCGTAGAGCGGCAGACAACCGACAGCTGGGGTCGCCAACCTAGCTGGGGATGGGGTACACCGTACAGAGGCTAGCTGGGGAAACGAAAATCACGCGCCCCTTCAAGCCAATCCAGTCATCAAACTGGATTGATTTGACTTGACTCCTAATTCATTAAGTAATTACAGATCTCGAAGGCTGTGCTTTTGCGAGCGTTAGTCAAATACACGCCTTTTTCCTGCCTCAGTGAATACACGTCATGGCCGCCATGTTTAGTCTTTGTTGGATTGAATCAACGTTACTGGATGAGGACAGTTGGAAAACTCGCGCGAGGAGGCGGCCGCAAATCGTCGCCCATTCCAGGTGTCGCTGGCATCGCTTTGCGACCACGTCACGTGACCTCTCCGCCGCGCAGCCGGCATCGCGCGGAGCAGACGGAGCAGCGACGCGGCTAGCAGGGCCTGCGCTTGCAGACGATTTTTTCCCTGCTGGTAATAATGGTTAAGTAACCTAAATTAAGTAACGTTAAGTAACCTAAATATAAAAAAAAGGCTGGCTCGTTGTTTCGTAACAGACCTTATGCATTAAATTTCAACCATGACAGAGCAGACGATAATGTTTACGCTGTTCTGCTTTCTGGAGAGAAAGCGGACGGTGACTCTGAGCAAGCAATTGTTCGCGGTTGAATTTTGCTC